GGGGGGGGGGGGCCTGTCGCTGGTGGGGGCGACACCGGCGGCCGGCCCCGGGGGCAAGCACCTGATCGGCGCGCGGACGAGGAGGAGAGGAGGGAACACACGGGGATAAGGGCCGAGCCGAGCCAAAGAGACGAGAGACGGCGAGGGAGAGCCGCACACCCCCCGGCAGGGCGCCATGCGACAGCATTGTCCGGGCTTCCTCGGCCACGCCTCCCCGAGCCGGGCCCCTCGAGCCGCGGGGACGGCCAGATCTCGCGTGTTCTCTGTGTCCTGCCCCGAACCCCCCTCGGCGGCAATCTGACTTTTTTCTCCATCCCCCGGAGCCGGAGACAGGCACTCCCGGGCGCAAGGGCGTGTATGCGTGTACGCGTGCGTGTGTGTGTGTGTGTATGTGTGCAAGGCGTGTATATTGAGGGCGCGTGTGGGTAAAGTGGGCGCGGCGGTTCGGGGGGGGAGGGGGGAGGACAAGCGGGTGCCAACGCTTGGCCCCGCCCTCACAGGTCCGACGAGGCGCCGGGATCGGCATCGGCGTCGGCCGCCGGCGCCGCTCGCGGAGAGGAGGCGACGATGACGTGGGTGCGCGGGGAGGCCGGAGCCGCGGCCGGGCCGGCGGCGGGGACAGCGGCCGGGCCGCGAGCCGGCCGCGAGGGGGCATCCGTCGGGTCGCCCAGGAAGCCGGTGGTCGAGTCGGTCTGCAGGTACATGCTGCTGGACTCGCCGAGGCTCATGGCGCTGAGCATGTGGATGTTGCTGCCATTGGCCCCGGCCCCGGGGATGGCCCGGTGGCGCATTTCAATGGCATCCCCGCGGCCGGAGCCGGCAGGGGTGCTGCCGCCGGCGCCGGGCTGCTCCTCCAGGTCGGCGGCCGCGGCGTTCGGGTCCTTCGGGCCGCCGATGGGCCGGGTGAACTTGCGCGTCATCAGGGCGGCCGCCAGGCTGGCGAAGACGGCCACACCGACGAGGATGCCGGCCAGGATGGCCGAGTGCTCGGGCTTCCAGCTGGGGTTGCAGGTGCCGGTCTTGACGTAGGTCACCTCGCCGTAGCTGAGGCAGGTGGACTCGGCCAGGTGGCAGGCCGAGGCGTAGGTCTTGCCGTCGCTGCCGCACACGCGATCGAAGCGGCTGTTCTTGGCCGGGCAGTTGCGCTGGCACATGTTGCTGGCCAGGGGAGCGCACAGGGAGGCACAGAGGCCGGTGTCGGCTGGAGGTGTGGGTGGGGAAGAGGGGAGGGGGGGAGGAGGAGGGGGGAAGGGGGAAAGGGGAAAGGGGGAGGGGGCGAGGCAGGAGGGGGGAGCAAGGAGGGAGGAGCAAAGAGGAGAGAGCAAAGAGGAGAGAGCAAAAAGCGAAGAGGAGAGAGCAAAAAGCGAAGAGGAGCGAAAAGAACAGGGACGACAGAGGCGTCAGTGGTCGGACACACAGCCGGGAGAAAAAGGCGCGAAGGGGGGATAACGAGGCACGCGCGAGGCCCAGGCAGGAAGGAGGGCGCCCCCCGGAGGGGGGGGGGGGGGGGGGGGGGGGGGGGGGGGGGGGGGGGGGGGGGGGGGGGGGGCCCCCGGGGGGGGGGGGGGGGGGGGAACATCAACGTACACTGGCAGGGGCCGGTGTAGGCAACCGTGATGCCGGACCCCGGCAGATGGGAGTTCATGACGCACGCCACGCGCTCCACAATGCACGGGCTGCCGTAGGTGACGCCGTCGCTGCCGCACACCCGGGAGTCCGGCTGCCCGGGAGCCGGGGCGCTGTCAGCCGGGTCGCAATAGATGTCGCACTCGTTCTGGCCCTCCTCTCGAGGGCAGGAGCCCCAGACCAGCACGTCAATGGTCATGCTCTTCAGGCAGGCCGTGCGGTTCATCTCGCACAGGCTCGAGTACTCCTTGTAGTCGGTGCCGCAAATGGGGCCCGCCTCATCGGGCGGCGGGGGAGGACAGACACTCATGCATCCGGGCTCGTCGGCTGTGTCCCGACAGCCGGCAGAGGCGGCGAGCGAAGTGTCAGCACGGGAAGGCAAAGGGGGGGGGAGGGGGGGGGGGGCGGATGCGCGTGCGTACTTCCGGCGCTCTGCCCGGCACCGAGGGAGGCGGCCGCCAGGGCAAGGAGGAGGACCGGCAGGGCCAGGGCTTTACGAAGCATGGTATGGGAAGGCGTGCGAGAGGACGCAGCGGCGAGGGGATGGGGAAAGCGGCCGGGCGGACGGGAGGGGGCGAGGGGCGGGGGAGATCAGGCTAGGGGGGAAAGGGGAAAGCTTGGAGGGTGCCGTCGATGTTGGAGGCTGCGCTCACCCGAGCCCGCTGGCCTTTATAGAGAGCCAGAGAGAGAGAGAGAGAGAGAGCTCCCGGGGCCGGGCGGTCTTTCCGCCTCCCGACCCGGCGGGCGCACCTTGCGCACGGTTGTCGCTGGCGCCCGCTAGTCGGGCTGGCCCGTTTGACGCCCAGCATCACACACCACCGCCGTGCCTCCCCAGCCACTATTGTCTCTCACACCCGGCCGCGCCTCTCCCCCAGGGGGGCCATGGAATGCGAAGGGCACCCGGGCGCGGGGGGAGAGCATGCCCGGGCTTTGACCCGGACGGACCGGCCTGGCGGGCAAAAAGAAGCAGGTCAAAGTGGCGTCTTGGCTTCCGGCAGCCCGGGAAGAGGCGACAAGTCCGGGCGCGAGGGCGATCGGCTCCATTCCTGAGCCCCTTCTCTGTTTGGGGGGGGGGGGGGGGGGGGGGGGGGGGGGGGGGGGGGGGCCATCTTGTCGCTGGGCGGGCGTTCATTCCC